CTCTCTCTCTCTCTCTCTCTCTCTCTCTCTCTCTCTCTTTCTCTTTCTCTTTCTCGCGCTCTCTCTCTCTCTCTCTCTCTCTCCCACTCACACACTCTCTCTCTCTCTTTCTCGCGCTCTCTCTCTCTCTCTCTCTCTCACATACGCACACACACACACACACACACACAAACAATGCGCAAAACTCCGCATTTGAACAGTCAATAGCAAATACTTAAACTAATAACAAAACAGTAGCTGATTCAGAAGCGCCAGATTGTCATAGCAAAGTCAGAATGACCTCCTCTCCTAGGTTCACGAAACGGTCATCCATAAAATGCATTGCTGTTCTGTTGTAAGTCATCTTAAAGATTCCTAAATGCATCTACTTTCGGAAGGCCAAATAAAGTGCTTTTGCTTTCTCCTAGAAACACACAGCGTCTCCCTGACATGCTGCTTCAACACTAACTGCTGTTACTGAAACCACGCCTTCTTTCTTTGCGTGAACATTTGGGCGGCATTATGCAAATATTTCCACATAGTGAGGTAGATATGTGGGGGCGTGTTAGAACGAGCCGTTTTAGGGGGGCGTGGCAGAGTCTTAACTTTGATAAAGAATATCTCTTTGGTTTTGAGACTTTAGTCTTTGCAACTTCAGGGATCTTATCTATGCACAATAAGCTTGTAACACTCCAAAGAGAAAGGAAAACTTGAAATCGCATCATATGACCCTTTTAAACTATAGAAACTGTGATTGCACAGACGGATTTGAAGACTTGAGCTTTAGCGAGTTGATAAACTGATTCAAAACAAAACTAAGAGACTAGTTTGAGACTAATTTAAAAGAGCAGACTCATAAGAGTCATAAAAGTCCAACTACTGGTTGTTTTTTAACTTTGGTTAAGAAGGAAACACTGGCAGAGTGTTTGAGGATGATATTGAAAATATGATAATGATTAAAAGTAAACATGTCTGTGTGTGTGTGTGTGTGTGTGTTTGTGTTTCAGGGCAAGAATCTGATTCCTTCGGCTGCTGGTAACTCCAGGTTAAACTACACCGTTCTGATCGGTGACAAGCCGTGTGTGTTAACCGTGTCCGAGGCTCAGCTGATGTGTGAATCTCCAGACCTCTCCGGACAACATAAAGTCACTGTAAGTGTGTCATGCGATGATTCCCGTCTTAAAGCGCTCTGATCTCTTTCCCACGACTATCACGCCGTCTCATCCTATGCCTCTTTCTCTCATCCGTGTGTATTGTTCTGCGTTTCAGCCCATGTTTCTCAGCATCAGATTACTGCTGGGAGTTTCTGTCGTGGCTCTCTGGGGTTTTGTGTTGTATTTATTTACACTGAGTTTGCAAAGAACCTGAGACGCAGATCTGTGTTTACATGTAGTCTGTTTCATCTTTAAATAGCTGCAGCACATGCACGTTCAATTATATTTTGTATGGCAGAGTTATTAAAACATAACTCCCATGTTTTTTCCCAAGCTCTCTTTCTGTGTGAGAACGACAGAGATGCTGCGACCCACATGTTTGTCCTCGACCTATATATCATAACCCATATTAGCGAGAGACCGCCATTTAGCTACCGCTTTACTCACGATGTAAAACTTCACACTCACCCGTTTTGACCGCTTTAGCCTCCTTAAACCCATTCAAGTGTGATCTACATTATCAAAGCGATGGTTCAGCCAAAAATGTTAATTCTGTCATCATTTACTCACCCTCAAGCTGTTCCAAAACTGCATGAATTTTGTTCTTCTGCTAAACACAAAAGAAGATATTTTGAAGAATGTGTGTTACTACACATTTGCTGGACCCCATTGACATCCATTGTATTTTTTCATACTATGGAAGCCAATGGGGACCAGCCACTGTTTGGTTTCCAACACTATCCCTTTAAGATTATCTAAAGATGCAGGTTTGTTTGAGAGATGTGGAATTATGGGATGTATTTGGGTAGTGCTGTGTGAGGTGCATTCACAATGTGGGATGGATTGTTATTTTAATATTTAATTTTAGGAGCTCATTTTATATTTATGATTTCCTCTTAAGTCCTCTTATAATGTGAGTTTAGGTTTCTTAAACCAAAAACAATCATAGTTTGTAGAACCTCTCTCTGATGTTCACAATTAAATATGCTGATCTTCCATATGTAAATGACCTATGTTATGATTGGCTGAGCACCACCTCCTCATTACATATGCAAAACACTTTCTTTCATGCTTACTTTTGCACTTTTTGCTCCTTTTTCTTTCCTTCTTTCTTTCTTTTAAAACCCTCTAAAGATGCAGGTTCACTTGAGAGATGTGGAGTGTGAGGTACATTCACAGTGTGATTGTGGGATTGATTGTTATTGTAGTCATAACTGTTTTAAGAGCTCATTTTATGCATTTTATATTTTCTCCACTTCTAGTTCTATTCTAGGTGTATTGAACCAAAAACAATTATAGTTTGGTTTATGTCCATTTTCCACCGTCTCTCTGGCATTTACAATAAAACAGGCTAATGTTCCATATGTAAATGACCTCTTTTATGATTGGCTGACCTTTTTGCGAATGAAATGAGGAGCAACACTTCTGCTGAGTCGCTGTTGAAATAGTGATTTTAATGAGCTCATGGTCATGAAGGCATAACAGTGATTTCTGAATCAAACTCTTATTATTTCATTGGAAAGAGAAAGTTCCTGTTTTCCATGCAGTGGCTGTTTTGGTGTGATATGATGTGCGACGCTCAGCACGCGTGTGTGTGTGTTTGTTGTGTGTGTGTGTGTGTGTGTGTGTGTGTGTGTGTGTGTGCGTTGTGCAGATCTTGGCCGGAGGTTTTCGCTATTCTCCAGCAACTCGGCAGATCTACTCGGACAGCCTGCTGACGCTCCCCGCCATCATCGGGATCGGTGGAGGAGGAGGTCTTCTTCTGCTCGTCATCATCCTCATCCTCATCGCATACAAGCGTAAATCCCGTGACGCAGACCGGACGCTCAAACGGCTGCAGCTGCAGATGCACAATCTGGAGTCCAGAGTCGCTCTGGAGTGCAAAGAGGGTAAAACAGCATCACTACTGTACATCACTGCATTCACCAGTGCTCTTTCTGACTTTCTCACTCTTTCATGCTTTGTTTTGCTCTTTTTTTGTCTGCTGCTCTTTCTTTCTTTCTTTCTTTTAATGTTTTCACTCCTTTGTGCTTTCTTTCATGCTTTATTTTCTTCCTTTTGCACTCTTCACACTTCTTTCTTCCACTCCTTTCCCCCTTTGTTTTTCATTTTCTCTCTTGCACTTTTAATGCTTAATTTTGCACGTCTTTTGTGCTTTTTTTCGTACTTTCTTCCTTGTGCACTTTTCTTTTGCTCCTTTTGTTCTTTCTTTCTGTTTCTTTTTCACCCTTGCGCTTTTCCATGTTTGTTTCACACTTTCTTTCATGTGCCTTCTTCTGCGCTCTCTTTCTTTCTTTATTTTGAGTGCTCTTTCACACTTGCACACTTTCACATTTTCTTACACTTTCTTTCACTCTCCTTTGTACTTTCTTTGATGCTTTTTCATGCTCTTTCGCTTTCTTTCACTCTTTTTCACATTTCCATGCGTTCATGTTTTCTTTTGCACTTCCTTTCTTTCATGCTTTCGTTCACTTTCTTTTTCTTTTCGCTCTTGATCACATTCTCATGTGTGCTTTCATGCTTTTTGCTTTCTTTTTTTCTTTAGTGCGTTCATTCACACTTTGTTGGTTCTTTATCCGTTCCTTTGTTCTCTTTCATTAATTTGTTTGTTCTCTCCATCTCATCACTCTCTTTCAATATCTTTCAATTGTTCTCAATTGGTTTTCCTGGTTTAATTTTATCTTCCGTTTGCTCGTGGCCCTCCTCCCTCTCTCTCTCCCTCTCCCTCTCTCTCTCTCTCTCTCTCTCTCTCTCTCTGATTGGCTTTGTTTTCTGTGGTCTCCTGTTAGCGATGACCTCGTGATGCTCACATCATTTATCTCATACACACACCCACACCGAACGCCCGTCTCATTCCCGCCGCGGTCACGAGGGCGAGACGAGCCGTCCATTATCTGTCTCTGTCGGGCCCGAGGTGACGACCTTGTCTGTCTCCAGACTTGGAGCAAGGGATGAGGACAGGGAAGAGAGGATAAAAGAGATGGATAGCAGGAGGTGAGAGTGACAGGTCACTGATAAGTGATGAGACGTCCTCCAGGATGAATAAAAAGAGGCAATAAATAACCACAACATCCAGATTGATTAGGTGAGTGGCAGCAGTAGCAGACTGGATCAGAAGTTTGGGACCAAAAGCACATATTTCTGATATTAAATATAGATTTATAAGTGTCAGTGTTAGGACCATGTGGTAGAAGTGCTGGTGTCATTCACGGCCATCAGACCAGTCATTTTAAAAGCCATCTCAAATCAGAAAGCTCCAGTCTCCAGTCTCCAGCAGGAGTCAGTACACACTGGTTCGTATCAGTCCACGAGGGAGCAAAGTTACATTTACAATTTCTAGACTGATACAGTGTAGACTACTACTACTAGTAAAGAACAAGTCACTGGATTTGACTTCAAATTTTTTGACAGATGGTGGATTTTGACAAGTAGTGGTCAAACAAATAGCAAATAACATGCTGAAAATAGATATTTGTTTTACATAATATTTACTAAACTATAAGTAAATATTTTGAAAATGAATAAATATTAAACAAATTAACCCTAACTTGTTGAAAAAAATATATAAAATAAACCGAATTAATAGCAACTTCTTGAAGTAATCATATTAAATCCTAAGAAATTGTTCAAAAAATATAAAGCAAGTAAACACTTTAACCAACAATGATATATAACATAAATACACTTGCTGAATATTAAAACTTAATATAGTGCTTGCCTTTCTGTTACTAATAATAGAAAAGCAAAGCAAATATACAAATATATATATTTAATTTCTTAGTTTAGTTCTGTCTAATAAATGATTAGTAAACTAATGAAGACGGACAATCATGTGCATCTCTGCTCAGGTTCTGCTGAAAATAATAGTCCCACTTCCAACTCTTATCAGTCACTCCTTGGAAAAATGCAGATAATTAAAAAACGCAAGATGTATAGGCTTGAGGGTGTTGTTATATATGGTTGCTAGGGTATTCTGAATGGTTGCTAGGGTGTTCTGGCTGTTTCCCAGGATGTTGCTATGTGGTTTTTAGGCTAATCTTTGAGCACATCACTACAGACTGAAATTCTGATTGAAGTTCACATTTTCTACACATTTCTTTTTTCTTCTTCTTTTTAGAAGCTTTCGTGGAGAACCTGGAGGTCTTAGCTTCCACTCAGCGGTTTGCACAACACAAGGATTTACTCTTTCTCTTGGTCTCTGTGTTTCCAGCGTTTGCGGAGCTGCAGACTGATATCCATGAGCTGACGCAGGATCTGGATGGAGCTGGAATCCCGTTCCTGGATTACCGCACTTACGCCATGAGAGTGCTTTTCCCAGGAATAGAGGACCATCCGGTGCTGAAGGAGATGGAGGTGAAAGCTGGACACCTGTCAGATTTAATGCATTCGGCTGAACTGTATGTGTCTGTTTACACCTGGTCACTTCATGCGTTTTCTCTGATGCGATAGCTATCCGATCATGAAAAGACCAGGTGTAAACGCTTTTAAATCCGATCGCTCAAACCACTTCAGGAGGGGGTCTGGGCCGTAAATGCATCTGGTTGTTGAAACCACATATGCAAATTTTACTCGTCCCAAACTATTAAAAAAATTAACCCGTGAGAGCATTTTAAAGTTAGTATTGTTACATTTTAGACACAATATTTCCAATATTGTCTGTTATGCTCAATTTTGCAAATTAAAATATTTCCAATCAAAGCCACAGCAGAAGTGTTGTGCGTCTTTCGTTGCGGTACGAATCCACGTTTTTGCACAAATCGAGCGAGTCAGTGATACAGTGTTTCATTCATAAAGAGTTACATTTCTGAATGAATCAGCCGTTTAAATGAATCAGTTGAATGAATGACTAAACGACTCGCTCATTAAGACACTTGTGGTTTTAGTTTCATATTGAGAGTATTTCAATATTCAAATAAAAATGTTAATGCCAGTTATCATCACTATTTATGCAATGTAAAAATCTAAATATTTCTTTCTAAAGCTACTTTTTTTGTAATATCTATTCAATGAAGATTCAGTTTAAGACAGTGACACATACAGTAATCAGATTAATTAATCAGCACATCATGTGATCAATTAGAATAAACATCTTCATTGCTTGACAGCCCTAATATTAATCTTGCTTTCTGAAAAAATGTAGCAAAATGAAGTGAATTTGTGCTTAAAACAAGCCAGTGGGGTCAGAAAAATCAACTTAATTCAAATGGAAAACGAATGTATTTTCTGACTGTATTGGCAGATTTGTTTAAGCATGAATTTCAGAAAACAAGACTTAATATCTTATGCAAGTTCGCTTCCTAAATAAATATATCTTGGTTGAAGAATGTTTAGATACTTGTGCTGGGAAACAAGACAGAAATATTTTTTGAACTCTTAATTGCTTGATGTTCACAAGTTCCCACGTTGCACCTGGTTAGTCACAGTGTTAATGGACATGATGAGGACGTCTAGGGGTCACATTTGCTCTCCATCCCTCCGTTTCTCGGTTTGCCCTTTCGCGTCCGTGGCTCTGTTTCTGTCAGATGGTGTTACACACCTGAGCGCACACTGGTTCCCCGAGGAGCGCTGTGGGAGATGAAGCTCCTGGAGGAGACGTGACAGGAGAAGAGAGATGAAGACTTTAGTCTGAACATGCTGCTGTAATATCACAGAAATAACATCAACGCTTTGTGAAATGTCTTTTTGCATTTCAGTGTTTCATCTACAGTGCATCTCTGACATCAGCTTTATTTGCAACGGAAGTACAAAGATGCATCACCAGATCCATTTGGATGAATGTAATAGTAGAATGTTACTAAAGCAGTAAGCCCAGTGAAGCCGTGGGTTACAGTGAATTTATAACAGCTAAGGGGCGTTGTTAGGCGACGCGAAGCGGAGTATTCTCAGTATTCTTCCGCCAAACAATGTAGCTCCTCAGAATCAGTTGTGGTTCCAACAAAGTTGTTGCCGAGCAAGACACAAAGTAAACAAAGGTGTGTGTTTGTTCGATTTGGCTCAGCCAATCAGAATCAAGGACCGGAACTCTTCGTTTTATAAGATACAGTAAAACCACGGGACATTTTCCATTTACTCCTAAATTAAAAGGAAAAAATTTGCATAAAGAAAAAGAAGCCTGTTTTTAGAACAATTAATACATGATTTGCATGACAATCACGCATTTCTCATGCTGATTACAGTAGAAATTACTGTATGAAAGTGGTTTGATTAATCCGTTATATACAAAAATATGCAAATTATATTCTGATATATCTGTACCGTTACAGTAATGAGAAATGGTTTAATTGTCATGAAAATAATATCACTATAGTGTCTGAAAATGCAAAAAAAAACGCTTAATTTTCTTTAAACTAAATTTGGTTTTGCATCATTTTTATTTATTTATTGATTGTTATTTTAGTTATTTAATCTATGTATTATTTGTCATTACCACTACTACTAATGCGATGTGTATTTATTTATTAATTCATTCATTTTAACTCATTTATAACTATTATTATTGCCAGACAGGTTTTGTCATTCATACCCAAGTGATATTCAGCAATACCTCAAAAATGGCGGTTCTTGTCTGTCTGTACTGATCTCTTGTCTAGTTTGGTTTCAGAGTAATTTTTCCACTGTAGCTTCTCAGTCTCTGTTCCTCTCTCTCACCTGACAAACCTCACCTGAAGATCAAATAAATGTGAGCAGTCAAATCTCAATCTTTCACCGCTCCAGACACGTTTCCAGCACAATATTCTCAGGTTTTCTTTAATAACTCCTCGCAGCGTGTCGTTCGCGTCGAGCTCTTACCGTTTTCCTCTGCATCGGTCTTAACCAGTGAATAATTCAGCAGAGATGCTAAAAACAAACACATTGCACCAGGTTCCTCGTCTACGCCTCCTCTCGCACGCCATGAGCAGATTAGCACTAATAAGGTCCGTTAATTACCAAGCCGTGTAATTAGCCTCATTCCGAGGGACTTGGTTCGGAGGGTTGTTATTGTGTGCCAGGTTTCTGTTTAATGACAGAAGAATATTTTTAATTGGTGTTTTCTTAATGAAGTTTAGTGGTTTGCTTTGCGAGGGAAGAGAGCAGCGCTTTGGTTTGTTATTAATGCAAAATTATTAGCGTGTTTGCTTTGCGCTCGGGTCCTTTGAAGGTTTGAGGGAATAATTCGGCCGCGGCACTTTGATGTCAAATGGGAGTTTAATACAGCATCCGCCGAAAGATGTTGGTTATGGGAATGGTTTTTCTTGTTGTGAGACTTGAGAAATTGGGGAATGAAGAAGCCTTCAAAGCATCTCTCTCTGCTCTCAAAGGTTACCTCGGGGACTCCGGCACGCAAGTAAATAAATCCTTGACATTTATTTTTTACTCCGTTTCCCCCTCAGGACTGAATCTGTGGCTGAGAAGATGCTAACAAACTGGTTTACTTTCCTCCTCTACAAGTTTCTCAAGGTGAGTGGAAGGAACGGTATGACTGTTTCTTTGTATCTTAAGTGATGGTACTCATTATATGCATTCCCTGCTAACAAAAAAGAGGTTTGCTGGTCTTCCACTGGTCTGGTTTACTGGTTTCAAAGAGCTTTTGTCACATGTTCTATTTAGGTTATGTTTGACAAGATAATATTTATGCAATGCATTTATTTACATGTATACTTTTATGCACTACTGTTTTATTCAGCAAGGATGCATTAAATTGAGCAAAAGTGACAGTGAAGACATTTATAACGGTACAAAAGATTTCTGTTCTATTTCTACTCATGAAAAATAAAATGTCTCTGTTTCCACAAAAATATTGTGCAGCACAGCTGTGTTCAACATTGATAATAATCAGAAATGTTTCTCGAGCAGCAAATCAGCATATTATACTGATTTCTGAAGATCATGTGACACTGAAGACTGGAGGAATGATGCTGAAAATACAGCTGCGCATCACAGGAATACATTACATTTGAACAGATATTCACATAGAAAACAGCTGTTTTGAATTGTAATAATATTTCATAATTTTCCTGTTTTTACTGTATTTTTGATCAAATAAGTGCATCCTTGGTGAGCAGAAGAGTCTTCTTTCAAAAACATTTAAAAAGTCTTACTGACCCCAAACTTTTAAATGGTTTTGATTGTTTGTTTGATGTTTGCATCAACTTTTAGTTTTATCAACTAAAATTATATACCATTACAGTCAGAGTATAATTACCTAAAACTAATGAGTATGAGTGCTAGAAAATACTGACCAAATGTAAAGGAAATCTTCATCCACAGACAAAAACGTTGACTGAAACCAGTAAAGCACATTTTTTTCTTTACAGGGTCATGAGTGATTTAATAAATGCAGTGGTTTATGATTTGCATATTTAAGGTCCAGACACTCTCTGTACATGATCATGTTGCTGTTTAATTGCTGTTTCACCTTGAGTTTGTTTATTGAAATTCAGATACAAGATAGACAGATGTACGTTATCATTCCCGCAGGGGAAGTTCATTATTACAATCTTTAAGAACTTGCATTAATATAAAGCGCTTCCATAACACACTGGAGTGAGGGGCGTTGTGTGTGTGTGTGTGTGTCGTCTCCTGCTGCTCATTAACAGATGTGTGTTTAATTATCCCCTGTGCTAATGAGCCCAGCGTGGCAGGGCCGGCATATGGATGGGCCGCACCGTCCCGCTACGGATCCCAGTGAGGGACACGAGACACAACAAACATCCAGCAGCGTTTTCACCTGAGAACGCGAGCGCAGCTGATTAAAGTTGTCTGCGTCTTATACGGTTTAATTACTTTGGGTAATTAGCCATGAGCCTTAAAGAAACGACTTTTGCAACACATTTAACTTTAGTAATGTGGCATATTTTCAAACTGGCTCCCCTTCTGCCATTGGTCAGATAAACCAATAGCCCCGCCCACACACTCTCACCATTGGTTGAATCAGCTGTGCTAATGTTTTGAAAGCAGCCTTACACATTTTTTTCCTCTGCATATTAAGCTGAGACACAAGAAGGTGTTCTAACCATTATAAAAACACACAATTTGATTTCATAAAGCACTGATCGTGTGGTGTTTTGCGCTCTCATTTGGGCACATTTGCATCAGACAACAGAGACACACTCTCAGGAGACAGACGGGACTGATAGAACGAAGATGATGATCAAATTAGTGAGACGGAGACGAGAAGAGCAGCAGTTGTGAATGATGAAAGCCAGAGAATGTGTGTAGGAGGAAGAGACTGAGCCAAACGCAGAGAGAGAGGCGTGTGATTGGCTGTTTGACACGTATCACGCTCTGAAGTGTTTCTCCAGCTCTCTCCTCCTCAGTCATTAGCCTTTTATTAACCCTCCATCGCTCGCCTGGTCTCCTCGGGTCTGTTCACGTGCCCGCCGCTCATTTCCACGTCTAAACAGCAGCTTTTACACGCCTGACGCTCCTGGGAGGTTTTGCCTGATTTATTTTTTAGGAGTTGCACATTACATCTTCAAGATATTGCTGAGGCAGTAAACTCATCTCTAAACTTGTATTTTCACTAAAGCTGTGGTTTACACTGTAAGTGACCAAAAAGGTACGGTCTGTTTTGATAGCAAAATTTGTTAACACTAATTTGTTAATCTAATTTAAATAAAAATGATTTATTTTAGATAAATAATACTATAATTTTTCATTTATAATTACATTTCTAATTTGTTTACATTTATCATTTTAATAATTTTATTTATTATTTTTTTTTAAATGTAATCATTTAATCATAACTAAATTTCACAAGTAAATGTAATGAAATTAAAATATTTAACTAAAACCGATAAATCCCACACACTGCTATAGCTTGCAAATCATATTTTAATACATTTAGGTCATGCCACCTTCATCAAACATTGTTTTATGAATATTTGAAATAAAATCCTTTCTTTTCCAACTGAAATCCATTGTCATGCAGTAACATTTACTTTGCATGGTTTAATTTAGATCAGTGAAATAGTAATGGTAAAATGATTTTACAATGCATGCACATATTTGTGATTAGAAACCAAATATGAAGGCTAAAAACGTCTTTGACATAATGGTCAGAAGTTATTGAAATATATAATGAAATAGATAAAACAGGGACTTTTATTATTAGTGAAATGGGTGAAAGGGAAAGTGAAGTGGCTGGAGTAGATGTGCAACACATCAAAAAATAAATATGGGGTGTGACGGCGCTAACAGAATGTGACTTGTCTGTTTTGCACTCATTTCATGGTCACATGAGGTGGTTTTGAAAGCGGTGGAGTGCTGTGAAATGGCCAGAATGAAAGCGAGAGGGACGAGTAAAAATATATCCACAAGTGTCAATCACCGGGCAAAGTGGAGAAAATGACCACAATTGGCAAAATTGGAAGAATAGATGCTGCAGACGCAGTTATACAATGGTGGAAAACTTCTCGATCGCAGTTATGGTGACACTTCAGTTATAACGGCCCCTAGGACCAGAAATTGATGTCATTTGGGACGCGTCCTCAGATTGTGCTGCTGTCCACATTGTGTTTGAGAGTTATGGGCCAGTTCTAAACATTTAATTTGCTCAAATCTGCCTTTCAACAAACCCAAATTATCAGGTAAATTGGGATGTATTTAAAAGTCCTTAAAGGGACAGTTCACCCAAAAATGGAAATTCCGTCATCATTTAACTCCATAATATGGAAGATAATGAGGACCAAAAACTGTCTGGTTACCCACATTTTTCAAAATATCTTCTTTTATGTTAAACAGAAGAAAGAAGAGTTGGATCAACTTGAGGGTGAGAGTAAATGATGACAGAATTTTCATTTTTGGGTGAACTGTCCCTTTAACTATGGAAAAGTTGATTAGGAAAAAGCTATTTTTACACATAAAGTAACACTTATTATAGTACCACCTTGAATTCTCACAAAATTTAAAAATCACGTTGTGTGCGTCCCATGATCTGTTGATATCACTGCTGTGTGAAACTCTAAATGCCGCCTTCCAGGGATGAAATGGAGAAAATTAAGGATTAATTTACCCCATACAGCCTTGGTTTCGAAGCTAAAACATGAATTGGCTTGTTATAGCTCCTCCTAGAGTCAGACGGGTGTGTGTGCATGAGTTATGGGTGGGATTTGGGTCTGTTTTAGGACATGAAAATAATCCAAACACTTTATAAATATACTATAAGTGCTTGCATGGGGAGTGTGTTCACGTGTTATTCTGAGGTCTGATCTCACTCTCTATCATCTGTGTGTTCAGGAGTGTGCAGGTGAGCCTCTCTTCATGCTGTATTGTGCTATAAAGCAGCAGATGGAAAAAGGGCCGATAGATGCCATCACCGGAGAGGCCAGATACTCGCTCAGCGAGGACAAACTCATCCGACAACAGATCGACTACAAAACACTGGTCAGTTCCTACTCAGAATCAACAAGGAATGGTTCTGAATAAGTCAGAAACACATCTTTTTATTGCATTTTGTCTTGTCTGTATTATATGGAAGCCCGTGACTTTTTATCTCAAAATTCTAACTTTTTTGTCTTGCAGTTGTCTGTACATCCCACACTTCTGAATTTTCTTCTTGCTATTCTGACTTTTTTTGTGTGATATAAACATCTAATTCTGACTTTTTTGTTAGCTATTCTGACTTCTTTTCTCCGAATCGTGTGCTATAAACTCATAATTCTGACTTCTTTTCTCAGAATTATGTGATATGAACTCACAATTCTGACTTTTCTTTGCTATTCAGATTTTTCTCACAACTGTGACTTATTTTCTCAGAAAAGTGACTCGCAATTGCAGGTTATAAAGTCCAATTCTGCCAGGAAAAAAAGACGTATTTTCTTACAATTGGGAGTTCACATCACGCAATTCTGAGAAAAAAAGTCAATTGCGAGATGTGAGAAAAAAGTCAGAATTGTGAGATAATAAGCCACAACAGTGTGTATGTGATTTATTTAAGTGGGAGAGTGTTTTAATACACTCAAATGTGTTTCTCTGGTTTGCAGACGCTACACTGCATTAACCCAGAGAATGAGAACGCAGCCGAGGTCACTGTTAAGTGCCTGAACTGCGACACTATCACACAAGTCAAAGAGAAGCTGCTGGACGCCGTCTTTAAAGGCACTCCTTACTCACAGCGGCCCAAAGTGGGAGACATGGACCTCGGTACGAAAATAACGAATGCTGGAAAACCAAGCTGCTGTATTGTGGTTACAGTGTGGTCTACCAGCTTGATCAAGATGTCTGACCTTAACCCCACCAGCTGGACATCCAGCAAATGACCATAAATAAAAGAAATTACAGTAGGGATCAGTCGAGAATGTCTAGATTAGACGGCTGATTTTGTGTTTTCTCTGCTCAGAGTGGCGTCAGGGTCGCATGGCTCGTATCATTCTCCAGGACGAGGACGTCACCACTAAGATCGACAGCGACTGGAAGCGTCTCAACTCACTGGCGCACTATCAGGTAACCGCAGTGGCCTCGCCGCATCCTCTGCCTGGTTACTATGGCAATACCTCTACACCCCGCTGCCCAGTAACCATGGCAACCCCTCAGCAAGTTACTAGGTAACAATTGAAGTATTTTAACACGTAGCGCACGAACAGGTAACCATAGCAACATTTTACAAAGCATAACCACAAAAGCAGTGTTGGTCAGTAGAGATGCATTGATACCGATATTCATTAATATCAATAATTTTATTATGGCTGAAAATAAGGCTGTGTTCACAAAAAAACATGTTTTACTGACACTAAAGTAAGCTGTTATTTTACAAATACTTTTGTACATTGCATACACGAAATCACAGTTTTAAAATAGAATTTATTTAGAATTGGATTGATAGCTGATATGATGAACGGATATTATTATTTTATTATTTATTAGTTATAAATATTTGCTAAAAAGAAATCTAGAATTTTTTGTTTATCTTAAATATACACGTTTACTTTGAAGTTTTCATGTTTGTTCACGAAATCGTAATTTCACAAAACAAAATTGTACATTCTTTTTTTTTTTCAAACTTAGTTATACAATATAGAATTTATTTAGAATTGACGGTAATAATATGGTGATGATAATCAGATAACTGATTATCATTATTGTAATTCTGAGCCGACACAAAGCCATAGAATTTAGAATCTAGAATTTTACATGTTTATCTTTACAAATGTACAAGTTTACTTTGAACCATTTTACATTTTTATGTTTACAAAATGTACATTTTACAAGATAGATTTGTACATGTTCGTCTAAACAAAATTAGTTTTACTATATAGAATTAATGGCTGATAACTGATATGATGAATGAAATTATAAGTCAGCAAAGCTGTAGAATTTAGAATCTAGAATTTTAAATGTTAATACTAACATTGAGGAATTGTTTTTATGTTTACTTTTACTTTTTTTTTTTTGTAATACAGGATGTTTTACATTATTAAACTTTACATATCTTTACAAAACTAGTTTTACAATATAGAATTTTCATGTCAATCTGTTTTCAGATTGATGGCCATAATTAAAAATGCTGATCTGGTCTGATTCTGATTGTGTCCTGTATTTGTGGCAGAAACAGAGTGTCACTGTCTGTCTGTCTGTCGTCTAGGTAACAGACGGGTCAGCGATCGCATTGGTTCCCAAGCAGAACTCCGCCTACAACATCTCCAACTCCTCGACGTTCACCAAATCCCTCAGCAGATACGGTGAGAGAGAGAGAGAGAGAGAGAGAGAGAGAGAGAGAGAGCTCTGCTTCTCTAACGCTAGTGATGTTCAGAGGAATACGAAATACTGTATCCAAACGTGGCCTTCTATTGCCAGTGTATAGCTTTTATTTCTTTTTTTAAATGTAAGTTCAGTTAAGCACATATGTGCTTTGTCATTTTTAGTAGATTTGTTTTTAGAAATACTTCGGTTTTGGCTTTGTTTATTTTGTTTTAGTGCTTAATTATTTCAGTTAATTGCCAAGTCAACATTCCATTGACAGTGTAACAAACTGGAATTAATCAGCATAAATGTTAACATCTGATAGTTTGGAAAAACTTTTTATTCCACACATTTAAAAAAAACAAAAAACAGGCAGTATACAGAATATTCTGCGCGGGATGCAGAAAGCATTACCATTGTAGTCTATTTTATTCCAAGCATAGCCTTTCTCTCGGTCTTTTTCTGTATATTTCTCTTTGGTGTGTTTTCTACAGAAGTGTTGTTTGTGTTGTTGTGTATCCTAATGCTCTGCTCCTCAGTGGGATGAACTCAGCGGTCGAGAACTTCAGACAGAATGGAAAGCATGGATATGAAATCCAAAATCTGTGTTTGACAGTAAGGGAGGAACAGAGAGAAAAGAAACATGACTAGGTTTTTATCACTAGACAATATAATCCCTAAGTCACTCGACTCACTCCCCATAAATTTGACTATTTATAATTTTAAAATTTTTATAATTTAGAATCTCTCTCAAGTCTTCCTCTCAGTTTTCTACGGTTTGTTTGCATATTTTTCCCCCTGATTTCTCACCTGCCAAACACCAGCCGACCAAGCCGTCCTCTTTGCAGGGTTCCCACGGGTCCTTGAAATCCTTGAAAGTTTGTGAATCTGAAAAAAAAAAAATCAAGGCCCTGGAATGTTTTTGAAAATAAACGTACATAGATACAGGTCCTTAAAAGTTACGTTTTCCTTATTATTCCCTCTGGTCCGCTAATGTGTTATTTCTCCAACACTTCGTGGCCTATGCATACAAGCTTGCTTGATTTACGTTAGTTACGCACATTATACGCGTTACGTTAAGTGTTTCCCGCGTGAGATACTATGTGTTGTATATGGCAAGCCAAAAGAGTCAGAATTAAATTTCTTTAAACGGCATTTTTTAACGTTTACGCACGTTTTTTATGGCGTCTGCTATCAGGACGGCATATTTGATGGCGCTAATGCTGTTTTAAACGCCGGGAAAAAATGCATTTTGTATGTAAATGCGTTTTATCTATAGCGTAATTCTGACTCGTTTGGCCTGCCATATTTGTCACGCGTGCACGAAACTACTACAATGGTACCTTAACATTTCACAGACACACCGTGAAATTAATATTGAGTTGCTTTGCTTGTTAAGATAATGTGAGGCAAGAAACACTTAAAAGCATATACTGGTTACATGAGCCTAAGCTCTTCTCAATAAAATCCATGCAAAAGTTAATATCAGATCATTTTAGAATACAGTATAGGATGTACCGAATATACTTCAGTTTCATGCAAAACAGAAATACGACAAATAGAATATCAGATCCCTGTCATATGGCCAAAAATAAATGCTCAAATAAAATGCTTTTTTTGCATAGTTGTGTTTGACACATGAAAACTGTAACAATGTAACGGTGTAACCTTGATCTCACTTGAAATGTGTCCCCACATTAAGTCCTTGAATTTGAGAGTATTGGACCTGGAAAATCCTTGAAAGGATTTTAAGTTAACCAAGGTGTGGGAACCCTGTCTTTGTGTCCACAGAGAGCATGCTGAGAACAGCCAGCAGTCCAGACAGCCTTCGCTCGCGGACGCCCATGATCACGCCAGACCTGGAGAGCGGCACCAAACTCTGGCACCTGGTGAAGAACCACGACCATCCGGACCAGCGGGAGGGCGACCGCGGCAGCAAGATGGTCTCCGAGATCTACCTGACGCGTCTGCTGGCTACCAAGGTAAGGAGAGGTGTATTACATACCTGCAGTTATCAAAGGCACCTTGAAAAACTTCATGCATTACATACTTAATTTGCAAAATACTTGCTAAAAAGGAGATTAAGTGTGTTATAGATCATAGATAACATGGTTAAAAATCATGGTTTGATAATACGTCTCATTCTGCAAAATGGAAGGTTGAGTCAGGCCCATTGCATTGTGGGATACAGTGTCTTGTGCATGTTGTATACTGCTAATGTAGTAGATCATCTGGGTATTTGTGCATACAGATTTTCATGAGTACTTACTGCGTATTTCTAGGTAGTATGTAGTATGCCATTCTGAATATACTCATGCATCATTTTAGTATCATTTACACACTAATATAGTACTTATTAATATTTTGAATTTGTTTCATGTTTATATTTTCAGTTTTATATATATATATATATATATATATATATTTTTTTAGTTG